AGTTCGTACGAAAAATTCATCCCTGTAGGAAAAGCGGCAAATTACATGTTGGCATTGGGTGGTAGCATGTGTTTAAGCGGGGGGTGCGGAAGAGATGGGGCAGTGCAAAATGATACTGTAATGCCTAGCTAAACCGATTATGAAACTCTGTGTGTGCCGGATTCGAGTATTCCAACATGAGGAGGTGCTAGGTGTGTTTCGTTAGCGTAAAGGTGTTTATCTAATGCAGCGGGAATTTAAGAGAGAAGAGGACTTATGGGAATTATGGAACGATGAGAAGTATGATATTGCAATGTGGTTAGTGAGATATGTGTAAGCACGGTCATTTCAAGGTGTGGGATGACAGTGTGGGTTGAATCTCAGGGTGCATATGTGGGAAGGAGTAGCGGAATGGAATGAGTGGGGGTAGTAAAAGGTAGGGGGAAAACAGTGTAAATGCAGTGCTCTTAGAAAATGAATATACCATGAGAGTTGGGACAGCATGACGCTAGGTGACGGTTCTCACCTGTCAACTCATAGCGTATGCTGCAATGATGAAATAAAATGAAGAATGCTTAATATAATTAAGTCAAATTTTTGATGGTGAATGACAGAAATTGCAAATTGCGTTTCAGTTAGTCTAGATGAAAGTGACTGGTTCAAGCAAGACAATTTGACAATCCATAATTCCTCTTTTATGAGAAAGAGTGTTTGGTTTCTTTTTTTCCAATTATGGCACAACAGAAGCTGCAAATAATGGACCAAGTAGATTTAAAAATTAATTTCAATTAATAAGGCAGTAGCAAAGGCAACTAAATAAATATGCAGGAAAGAAAGAAAGAGTGCGCGCGTTCAGTTTCTTTTTTCAATTATACCGCAGAAGAAGCTGCAAACAGTGAACGATTTGTTTTAAAAGCTTGAATTAATAGGAATTAATAGGGGCAGTAGCAGAGGCTACCAAGCAAATATACAAGGAGAGAGACAACGAAACCACAAGAAAGGAGAATGGAAAAGGGTTTGGTGCAAAAAGAACAGAGCAGAATAAATCACTAACATTACAATTTTTTTTTTCTTTTTTGTATATATTCCTTCCTTTTTTTTAAATTTCCCAAACTGAGGTGAATTTTCGAATTTCATGTAATGCGTTTATTTCTTCCTAATCAAAATTCTTTACTTACTGAATTCTTCACTTCACTATTTTCCTTATTCTTATTTCCCTTATTTCTTATTCACAAAAATTCACGTACTTCTTATTCTTACAAAGTTGTGCGTCATTTCTTCCTTTTTTATTGCTACTGCCTTTTTTTCAAATTTTCCTTTCCCTTACTTCCCTTTTATTTTTATCTTCATTTTTCAGCTCGCTCTTCCCTTTTATGTCTTTTTTTTCCTCGCATTCCTATTATTTTCCACTTAATTCCGCCCAATTTATTCTTCTCTTTATCAATATCGTGCTGGATGACTTAAATGCTTACCTCTGGCGCAGGCGTTTCCTTGATCCAACCACTCACTGCTACCAGTAAATGTTTCAAATGAGGCTTCGGTTCTTCAGTGCGCAACAGATATGAAAACAAATTTAATGGTAGGAAGGACTGTGCCGCTCAGAAATCACTAGAGAATACTGTTGTTTTTGTGCTGCCTTGGCTCAGCCGATGTTGTGTGGCACGAGTAGGATAACCGTCTTCTCTTCTAACTCAAATCTCTTTCGACTAGCACAGGCTGCTCAATGGAAGCGATTGCACAAGGAGTAAATCCAACGTTTACGTGATCTCAAATTTGGGTCATTAAACTATAAGGAATAATAAAACACAATAACACCCACAACTTATGTGCGCCAAATGCACCTCCACCTAAAACCTAGTCTTGAAGGCTAAGGCAAAAGGGGGGAATCGAGAGGTTAGGAGGAATTTAAGAGCGAAGAAAACGCAGAGTAAGA